TCAACCTCAGGTGTCGTTTGACTTCCTTTCTCCTGTCCCGGAGCAACGCAGACCCAATCAGTGAATTCCAATAAGGCTACAGGATCAAATGGGGATTGGAGATTGGAGACACTGGACAATGAAACAGCCAACGAAAATAAGAGGGATGCTGTGGGGAGTCTCCTATCTGAATCCCCTTCCTTAACAAAGTAGCTAAAGAGGTACCAGATCACTTCAAGCTTGTCAGAGTTGGTCTCCCAGCAAGCTTTCCTGCATTCTTGTCAAGGATCAATTGCAAAAGCCTGGTTTGCCAATTTTTCAATGAAAGATGTTCAGTCCCACCACGTCCATCCATTTTTGACTATCTCGAGTCACATAGCCACTCAGTTTTGTCACCAGGGAATTGCCAGTCCTTCATGGAAAATGCAGGGGAAGACTGAACTGGGATGATCATTTGTTTAGTCACCTGCCCAATTATCTAAAATACCTTAAGCCAGAACCCCTTCACTTTCTTGCAATTTGACTGTAGTTGCATATATCAGCCGAAGGCTTCACAACCCCTACATCAAAGTGGGGAAAGTGAGGTATGAGCATGACTGAGTTTCACTCGAGGCAGTTGTCAATTGTGTACTAATTTTAGTATGAGTGCCAGGCAATATACTTCCCCAAGCATCTTCTGTAAATGGGAACACAAGGTCTCTTTCCTATGCTTGATGTGCAGTGCTTCTACCTTCATACTTGATATCCATATATATTGATATCCATTTATGGGTTCCAAGTATGGCATGAAATGGGAATCACCTTAAGTGCTGAAATACCTATTGCCTCTGAGGCCACAAGCAGAGTGGCTATCCAGAAGGAAGCAGCAACAAGGGTACTGATTGTTAGTTGACACCAAAGAGTAATGCCTAAATGTTGCTTTTTGCATTGACATGTGGGAAGATGGAGCAGAGGGCACAGGATGATGCTCTCTGCACAGATGGAAGAGAGGGCTGCTGGTTTTGATGGGAGGCAGGTCCACCCATATCTCCTGAAGGCTATTGTTGACCACAGAGACACTTTAGCAGCCAGCCATGAGATACTTGGCTCCTCCACTTTTATCCCCGATTGTTGAGAATGACAGACATAATGGCCTTTCTGGGGTGGGAGTGACAGAAGCAGTGAGAAAGAGAAGAAAAGGTGAATGGAAGCGAGTGAGAGTAAGTGAGCGAGAGAATGAGGATGAGAAGGTGTGTCCTGGAATATAAGCAAGGAAGTGCACATGAATGTGTGAGAGAAGGTGGAACAGAGGAGGAGGAGGAGGAGGAGGAGGGAGAAGAGTCTGGAAGTCAAAGAGGAATTAGGCAAATACAAAGAAAAGCCACAGGAGATGTGGTGCTTCACTGACCACATAAGGAATTACACAGAGGATAATGCTGCAACAGAAAAGGGGTAGATGACAAGCATTACCAAAGTGGACAAAGGCAGAGGGTAGAAAGAGATTTGAAATATCTGTAGCAGCATACCCTGGTGGTGAGCCAATTACTAGAGGAGCTATCTCTACTGATCTATTGATTCATTGATCAATTGATATAGTTAGTGGTTGACATCTGTCTGTCTCAGGAGACACACACATATATAATGCCTCCTGGTGACAAGAGCTTGCCAGGGGTCTCTGAATGGAAGAGGCATGCTGGGGCTCTTACACTTTAAAACCCTTAAGTGTGCAGACTATGCACATGTCTGAGAATACATTCAAAGAAAAAGAAACTAACATGGTAATTACTTTACACTTCCCCGTATTTCCTTTCTCCTTTCTGTTCTGTAGGCTGTTAGACCACCTCCTCTTAGAAACAGCGGGCCACTGCTCAGCCTCTGAAAGAACAACAAACAGCCTTTCCTCTTCATACAAACATAATGGTCTCCTGCATTATGTAGGAGAAGGCATTAAGCCAATGCCTGTGGTGTTGAAATTAGGCAGCGAAAGGTGTTGTAAAAAAAATCTTATTGTTTTTCTAAAAAGCCGGTGCAAAACAAAACAAAAATCCCAGGAATGATTATGTCAATAAGTCAGAGAGGAACTGCTGGATTTCAAGGCGGCAATGACGATAGGTCATGCAGAAGGTACCAGTTTCAAGTTCTAGTGCTGTGTTTCCCAACCTTGGGTCTCTAGATGTTTTTGAACTACAGTTCCCATCATCCCTGACCACTGGTCTTGCTAGCTAGGGATGATGGGAGTTGTAGTCCAAAACACCTGGAGAATCTATTGAAATGGCTCTCAGGCTGCAGATGATGAGAATACTTTCTCTGCCTAAGGTCCTGAACACTAACCAGAGGTGTAGTGTGTGTGTGGGGGGGGGAGCTGGGGTGGGTCCTTGGCCCAGGTGCAGTTGTGGGGTGGGGGACATTCCTCACGACACCCTGCAAAGTGGCATGAGGTTGCATGGTGTGGTGAGAAGGATGCAGCAGCTCACGGCGCTGGGCTCGCAGGGTGCCCCGCCATGTTGTGTCCTTCTCACCTGCTCTCGAGCTAGAGGGCACTGTGAGAAGGACGCAACACCTCACAGTGCCCTGCAAGCCCAGCACTATTTTTGTGAGTCTTGCAGCATGACGTAGGGCTCACAGGGCACCATGAGCACATCCCTCAATGCAGGGTGGCATCAGCTGGCTGGACTCTCCATTGCACGGCTGGGTAGGCGATACAGCGCAGCCCCACTTTGCTCCAGTGGGCGGGGGTCAATCCTGCAGCACGCCCTGCCCTGTCCTGGGCAGGGAATGCTCTGCCACTGACAGTGACTGCTAGTCAAAAACAGGCTGGATCAGGCCTGCACAACACAGTGCCCTCCAGATGTTGCTTACGACAACTCCCATTGTAGCACCCTGCTTGTGGTTAACACTTAGCTGGAATGAAATATTCAACGCAGCAATAGAGAAATTAAAATAATAATTTATTTGTCAGACAAATAAATGATAGACACAGTAGTATATGGTTACCAAAGCTCTGCCCCCTCCAGCCCTGATGGCCAGCACTTATATTCCCTCAGCCCAGCCCCCTTGCTCCTCCTTTGGCTGCCTCTGTCCAATCAGCCTGGTTGAAATTCCTATTGGCTGTTTGCTAGAACCAATCATAAAAGATACACCCATTTCCTATTACCTTTTATGGGAGACAAAGAGCTATATTTCCTTCTATCCATAAATGGCAGACAAGTAGCCATATATCTTACATTTGCCTCGACAAGGCACCTTAATTACCAGATCACCTTTTGCCCCTGTTGCCCCTGCATTCCAAAACAAATGGCTAAAACAAATGGCTCATGGTATTATTTTCTGTTAAACAATAAATCTTACTATTTACCAACTCTTAATTAGTGTTTTTGCAGCTTGATTGTATTCTGTAATATTTAGGGTCAGTATAACCTTTGCTCCCAGCCTGTAATTCCCTTTTACAACTTTGAGAAACTTGTCTCCTGTTACTGCTATAAATCAGGGGGGCCCTGTTCAGGAGAGCAGGAAGATAAACAACTGCCAGAGTACTTAGCCAGCTGCTTTCTGCCTGGCATGAAACATACAAACATTTGCAAATATATCTTTAAGCTCATTTTAAAATACAGGCCTTGATCAGATGCCTCACCATCTTTCCTGGTCATGAGCCATTTGTCATGTGACAAAGGTATTTGAGAGCAGAAGCAGTAAAGGAAGCAGTAAAGGAGTCTAGAAATGTTGTGAAATGCTGAAAAGCTGCAGAATCATTCAGCATGCTGAATCACTGTGAGTCATCTTGAGGATGATTCATTCTCTGTATAAGTATTGTATCTGCTTGCAGGCAGACTCAGTCAGTGTGTGTGTCTGTGTGTGTGTGAGAAGGTGGGGCCTGTGCTCTGTGAAGCCTGTGCTCAATGGAGACTCTATGTGACTCAGTAACTCTGTGTATGCTCTGAAGCTAGTTTAATCTATGCTGTTGTTTGCACACAAGTTTATTTTAACTCAGTAAAGCTTTTATTCTTTTAATGAAGAAGACTTGCATTATTAATTTACGCTGCGC